GACTAAGACCTCACTAAAAATGAGGTCAACAGCGCCCTGTCAAGAATCACGTTCTTTTCTTTCTAGGTCATGTCGACCGAGAATGCCGCCAAGCCTTGCAAGGCATCTGCAACGCCTTGCTGTACCAACAGAGCTTTCATTTTTACTCTCCATAGATCGAAATCGTTCTTTCCCCGTGAACTTCTCGATGTCGAATATTGCAAAGCCCATTGTCGTGGGTGGAATTCCCACAGACGGCGCCAATTGTTGTGAAATTGCTCCGCAGAACACCTACAAGAATTGTTTCAAAGAACTCCTACAGATTGAGTTAGATAGAAAATATATTTAATAAAGTTATCCAAATATTTTCGGCAAGAATAGGATTACAAATTATTGTAAATCTTGTTCCGTCAAATGCCTTCAAGAAATTTCAAGAACACCTCCCTCACACGATCGCTGCACTCTCCGGAACGAAAATCACGGTTCAGGAGCAAAACACCTTTCTGCAGGGATCACCAATATCAAGCTTCTTTGTGCCTGTACCGAACTTCCTTGTGGTTGTAGCTAGAAATGCCTGCTTCAGTTTCTACAGGCTTCCTCCTCCATGAGCTGCCGAATAGTACCTTGTCGAACTGTTCTTGGGAGGGATAAAGAAAACCACAGCAAGCCCAAGAAACAAAACAAAACAGGGAAGACAAAAGGCAAAATAATTCAAGGAATGAAATGCCACAAAGAACACAAACACAAGAAGATTTACGTGGTTCGGTCCTTAGACCTACATCCACGGAGGGAATCGTTACCAAAATTGACTAGCACAAAGGAAGAATTACAGGCTCATTACATCGATGAATCACCAAGATCTCTTTCTCTCCTTGCTGAATTTTCTTTCTACTTTTGATCTTTTTGCTCAGCTTTTTTTTTTATCTCCTTATGGTGGTCTCACTTACCCCACAAGACCCCTCATCTATTTATAGATAGATGAGGCCTTCCAAGAGGCATGAAAATTACAAGTGTGTCATTTATGTCATAATTAAGAGCCATGAATAAACAACATCAACTCATATTGATTTCATTTCAGTTACATCACTATGCAAATAAGCTTTGAGCAGGCCCCACTAAGTTTAAGTTATCACCCTTTTAAGATTATATAAATGGTACTATTTATACATGTAGAGTTTCATAATCTTTTAACACTGATAATAATTAAGTGTAGTATATGTATATAGATACAAAAATATATTTACAAACAGCCAGTTTTCTAAGACACCAATCCCACGAAAATCCAATGATTTTTCAAATGAGCCATCGATTTGCCTAGCTACAATAACGATTTAATAACAACATAATAATATTATAATATCATATGCATTTCATGCATCACAATCAAAACATGAGGATATAACCACAATATGTCAACCAATATTAATACACAATTATGAATATGCAATAATAATATCTAATATGACTTTTTGTCTCATTATCACTCACTTCCTCAAAATTATCAAATTTGCTAAAATTAAGACTAAATTTTTGGGCAGTTTACCTCAAAACTTCTTAACTGATTATAATAATGTTCATTCCTCTTCTCGAGCTCCTCGGTTATTTTTTTGGAAAAGGCCAATGGCTAATTGGCTAAAGGTAAATATTGATGGGAGTTTTACATCTAAGGAAGCTGGTTTTTGTGGCATATTCAGAAATAATATGGGTTTAAATGTATTACTGCTTTTTGCTCCAACATTCGCTATTTCTCCTCTACAAGCTCAAGTCGATGTTGTTATTGCTGCTTTCATTATTGCTATTTCTTGTAATTGGTCTCGAGTAGTGGTGGACATGGATTCCCTTACACATTGGAGAGCATATTCTACTTTGTCTTCTACTCCCTGACATATTAATCTTCATGTTAAAAATATAATTCAACATTTTCAGGTTATTTCTATACAGTAGCCTTATAATCCCAGGGAAGGTAATCGTCCAGCTGATTGATTAGCTAACAGGGGAGCGTCTTCTCAGCAAATCTCGGTTAACAACATCACTACTAGATCTTTAATTCTTCTGATTAAGGGAAATTTGCTTGATGTTCCCTTTGTTAGCGCTTCCACTATTACTTTATAGTTCTTTGCTTTCTTTACTTTTTTCTTCTTTTTTTTTTTTTTTTTTTTTTTTTTTTTTTTTTTACTTTAGTATGAGTTGTACTTTTGGTGGAGGTTCCTTAGGTTTTCATTTCTGTGATTGTATTAGGATTTAACTGAAACTTCTAGCCAGTCTTTGTATTTTTTACTCTTTTTAATAAAATTAACTCAGGGGTTGTCTAAACAAAATATAAAGGGTACTATTCAATAAAGCCTTTTAGATTATTAAGCCAATTTAAAAATTCCTAAGCTTATACCTCCATCAAAAATTTAAAAGTTCTGAAATTCACGAAAAACAAATTAATTTTGTTTAAAATGCACTTTATTATATATCTTTTAAATTGCATAATTTATTCAATTTTCTATTGTCCCAATTATCATGTCCCTCCTCTGCTTGTCATGATAAGGCAACAATAAATTCTAACCAAATTACATGCAAGATGTCTAAACGTCTAGGACTCAGCTTCATAAGATAAGATGCACAAAACAAGTAAATGGTAGATCAAAAGTAGTAGTTCTCCGAATCTTAAGCAAATTTTGGATCTGTTTCATGCAAGTCTGTAAACAATTAAAACTCACTCAAAATGAAAACTTAGAATCTAAATCTGAACCTTCTGCAAAAAATCTATAGCAAAATAAAGTTACACCACCAAAAGAAACGCAAGTTTGAAAAAAGTGCACAAAACCAATCACAAATTACATAGATAAAAACAGCAAAGAAGCAAGTCATCAAATACATAATCAAAGCTTCCTACAAGTACAAGAAGAAGCTTCCCTCAGAATGTGCCATCAAAGCTTGCATCGCATGTGAAAATTTGATATCCAATAACACAAAATTTAAGAGAAAACTTAGAATTGAATTAAGCGTAGAGTAAATTTTTACATCCCTCAAGGGTCCTATTTATAATATAAAAGATACAAAATTAGCAGTTTCGTAGGACCTACAAAAAGCTGGCTAAAACAACAAGCTTTAATTTCAATACTCTAAAATCTAGCAAAAAAAAAAAAGAAAAAAAAATGAAGAAGAACAAATCAGTCATAATTCCCCATTCAAAAAACAAATGGAATCAAGATTTCGTTAGTTGTCAACTTCAATATCAATTCTCTAAGTCAGCAGCAGCAAAGAATACTCAGCTGGATACTCAAATTAACATAGAACTTAAATTTTAGAGAACCCGACCCATCCTCAATAGTATCGCCACCATAGATATGTTTCAAAAATATAAAATAAATAATAAAAAACTTGCAAGAATACTAAAACAAAATCAAAATCAGAAGCCTCGCATCCTATGCTTCTGATGAAAATAAACCTTAGATTTCCATTACATGTAGCTTCAACTTAAAATGTACAAGAAAAAATGCACAACACTACCTCCCCACCCAAAACTGCAATTTTCTTTTTTTTTTTTATTCAGGAAGTGTAATGTCTGAGGTACTTGCCTAACTTTCATTAGAGTAAAGTAGAAATCATGATGTTGAAACCAATTTCTATAATCCAGATGGCAGCAACAAAATTAGAACATCGGTTAGCAAATCAAAGTAAAGTGGCCCAAAAGGTCCTAAGAACTTTTCAATATAAGTACAAATTATCAGCACATTGGTAAATCTTTTGAGAAGAATCTCAGTATCAATTAGCTAAGTAACTAATAGCTAGGCAAAATTGTTTGGCATCAGACAACTCATTATTTGTTATATAGCTAATACCAAAGTTTTTGTGTGATGGACAGAGGATAAAAGAGAGGATGGTTGTGCATCAAAATATATTATCACAATAAAAAAGGAGTTTATAATCTTAGAGTTGAATGAAAATTCAGTACACACAAATATTTCGATAGCCGCAACTAAGCTATACAAAATTTTTTAGATGGAAAACCAAGAAAAGGAAAAATTTATAAGACCGAAGCTATTTAAAATAGTTGTACTAGTGTGAGTCAAATTGATTTCTTAAATCAGAGGAATGCTTCCTTGTAACTAGACCAGATACTAATACAATGTTGTAACGTGAAATATAAAAGATAACTTAAATCAGGGTTTCTGATAACATAGTATAGGAAATTCAACGGTGTAAGTGATGACACCAAACTTAAACAAATGCAGCAATGTGATAAAAAATCAGTAGTCTAAGTAATATATGTTCAGTCAAAAAATTGATTCAATTGTGATCTTCAAATTTAACTGACCACGAAATCAAACACATAAATAAAACTTGCAATTGAAAGTGACGAAATTATTCTTACTATTCTACTGGTGAAATGGCCAAATGATTCTCCCGGCAGGCGTTTACTTCTCCAATTGTAGAACAATGGCTCCAAAACGTTCTCCAGATTTTGGATTTTCACCCTATTTTGAAAGCATCTTGCCAAACTAGTTTGGTTAGGTGTCCCCCCTAACCATATCTGTAGACAAAATAAGAAAAATAAAGGAAGCTCTTTATGAGATTATATTGTTGAGTAAGAGCACGACCTAGTTTTTAATTAGGAAGATTTACATACATACCACTACATTCCTATGTATTTAAATATCCAACATCTAAACATCAATTTTTACAAGCATGCAACCTTACCTATGCATGAAAAGGCGTATTTCACATTTTAGAAGATAAAATAGTGGTATTTTTTATGTGATATGAAAGAATTGGGTGGTATAAACGTAAAAAGTAAAATTTAGGTGTTAGATATGTAAAGTTTAAGCGTTATCACGAACATGACTACCGATCCAGATACCTGATAGCTGTTGGGACCATCACCAACAAGTCCAAGCTCAGCCATGTAAGGCCTAGCACAACCGTTAGGGCACCCGGTGACCCTTATTACCACTGATTCATTGTGTTGAACACCTACCTAAAACAATCATACATAAGTATTTCAAAAACTAGAAATTACATAAAAATGATCTTATTTTACAAGATTCAATGTCAATCACAATAAAGGAGAATAATAGCCATTACCTTATCAAGAATGGCTCGAACACGCTTGAGAATATCAGGTATTCCTCTCTCGGCTTCTGTTATTGCTAGAGGACATAATGGTAGAGCCGGACATGCCATTGCAGTTATGTTGAGAGGATCAACATAAATTGGTTCCTAGGGCATGATTAAATAATTCAGGTCAAATTCAAAATGAAAAAAAAGGTACATTCAAGTAAAATATACATTTTACATGTTTCGCAAACTCTACAGAATTATTTCTATCATCAATTTCTTTAAGGAAAATCTATCTATTTAATGCTTACATTGACTTGATAAACGCTTTTAAATGATATCAAAATCACCAAAACCTAACAAGTGACCAACACATTTCTTCCTGCAAAAAACTGAAATTTTAGTTCTATCAATTTGTCCTAAATCCCATCATTCATGTAATATTAATATCTTTGAGCACATTCAAGGCATCCAGCACACTGCAAAGTCACTTCAAACAACAATTGTGGAAGCAATTTAATTGTTGATCATAAGAAATAAAAAAAAAGAAAAGAAGAGAGTAAAAAAAAGAGATAAATTATATTAATTGCAGTTGAATTAATTAATTAAATATCTATTTAATCCCACCAAAGACTCCCATAAAAAAAAATTGTTCCCGCTTCCCTGTCGGTTACAAGCACGCGAAAAAGGCCACTTTCCCATTCATTCACACTTTCTCACGCGTCTCTCTCTTTCATTGGCAATGTTCTCGTTCAATGTCTTCCCTCTATTGTTCTCCTTCTACTCCTTGTTGTTCCGCCACTGTTCAACTCTCCGGTCATCATCCTCTTCAAATTGCAACAAAAAGTAAGTCAATGTTCCTATTTCACTGGCATGATTACGCTTATTCCTCCTCCTCTCTTTTAGTAATGGTTTCTCCCCCATTCGAAACCCAATTTCCCAAAGCCGCACCACCCCTATCTTTCTCCACAGTCGAATAGAAGGCCGCTCCTCCCTTCCCTGTTTACTGTGACTCAATCCCTCTGTCTCGCACGTAGAGATCACACGCCACACTTCTCTCTCTACCCTCACCTTGGCTAGTTTCATCAAGTTCCCCTTACCTGTGAGCACGAATCGACCGTTCTTCCCTACGGCGCTTCGCATTGGTATTTGGACTAGAAGCAATATTGCCACTTGAAGTTGAGTTGCCATCACTTCGGGTAGTTGTTCAGTATAATTTTACACAGGAGCAAAATGCTTGCCTGAGAATGGAAAAGTTAGATGCACTGGATGAAATGAGACTCCAAGCTCAATAGAATCTGAAAATCTATAGGGTAAAGATGTCTCAAGTCTTTGATCATAAGGTGAGTCCTTGTACATTCCAGAAAGGGGAATTGGTCCTGGCGCTGAGAAGGCAAATCATTCCCAACCGAAAAGTTGATGGTAAATTTATGCCTAACTAGGAGAGATGTTCTATCACAGTTCGTGTCTAAGAATCGAGAGGGTCGAAAAGGTCAAACTCAACAAGCTCAATTATAGCTGAGTCAAGACAGCTCGCTTCACTCAACAAGCCATAAAAATGGTCGTAGTGAAGGAGCAAACTTTTCCTACTCAACAAACCATAAAAACGGCCGTTGTAGGAGTCTCTACCTTGTTTGTCTAATAATAGGAATTATCTAGTTCCAATTTCATCCAATTTGACATGTCAAGTCTTCCAAATCTAGAAGACTTTTTTGAAAAGTTAATAGATAGATGGGAAATCCCTAAGTATATAAATTGAAGCGCAAGTTCATTATAGCCCAGTCTAGGACTCAAACGGATAAAAAATGTTGGACTCAACAAGCCCAAATATGGTCAAGCGCTATGTTGACCTCATTTTTGTGAGGTCTTTTCCTCTCCTCCTTAGAGTCTAGGTTCTAGCTCTAGAAATCCCTATGGACTATCTTAGAAAACTAGAATTGAGACTCACCCTTCTAGAAGCTCCAGCCGATTCCTGTTTTCCTTTGATGTCTAGCATCTTTGGCACAAGACCATCGTCTTATAAACGAGCGGTTATGGGCTATTTTGTGAAGATTCAAGGAAAATGTTCCAAATAGGACTTCAAGCCTTAGGAAAACATCGTCACGATCTTTTTCGTCACGTACACACACAGAATACACGAAATTCACGAATTTGCACGAAATCGGATTTCAATTAAGCCCAAAGGACGGGTGAAAATGCGAACTTCTCCGAATGACCTCCGACGACAAATTGGACTGCGCCAACGCGTCCGGGGTACCCATTTTGGTAGGAAAGGACACCCATATTGCCATATTTTTGACACGAGAAAATTGGCGCGCAAGTCGATGAATTTGTCAAAACGACTTCCAACGGCGAAACGAACCTCACCGACGCGTCCGGAACGTCAATTTTGCCTAGGGAGGGCACCTATTTTGTCGCATCGTCGTGCGCGGGTAAAATGTGTTTTAATTTATATATATATATATATATATATATATATATATATATATAT